GCCATCCCCTCCCCCCCAGGCTTATCCCCCCGTAGCTCACGGCAGGGCCCCGCCCACTACCAGCCCCTCCCACATCAGGCCCCGCCCCTCGCATCTCCTTGTCCTGCTCCCTTTCAGAACTGCACCTACTACTGGGGTTTCGCTGCGTGGATGGCCTATTACATCAACCACCCTCTCTACACGCCCCCCAGTAAGTGGCCTCCGCCCGCGTTCACCACCCTAGGCCTTCCCCCTGCGCCGTGCTCTCCCACCATGGGCCTCCTTTCCTTCTTCCTTTTCAGCCTATGGAGCTCAGCAGGTTAAACTGGCGCTGGCCATCTTTGTGGTAAGGAGGCTAGGGTGGGAAGGGGTGGGGAAGCCGCGGGAGGTGCTGGGCTGACCCTGCTCCTCCTCTGACAGATCTGCCAGCTTGGCAACTTCTCCATCCACATGGCCCTGCGGGACCTGCGGCCCGCTGGTGAGTGGCCTGCTGGGGGCTGGGGGTGATTGGTCCAGATGGCTGGGGGATCCAGCTCAACCTTCTGTCCTGCCCGCCAGGGTCCAAGACCAGAAAGATCCCGTACCCCACCAAGAACCCCTTCACGTGGCTCTTCCTGCTGGTGTCCTGCCCTAACTACACCTACGAGGTGAGGGGCTGCCCTGCCATCCCCCTACCACCCTGTGCCTGGGGTCCCACGTCAGGCACCAGCCTCTAGTCCCTGGTGCCTGGCTGGCATCTGCCTTTGCAGCTTGAGCTTGGAGCATGTGGTCATGGGGAGACTGGGCCCCTCTGCTCTGGGGGCCAGGAGATGGTGGCTGAGACGCCTCTCCAGCGTTAAGTCTAGTTGGGTGGCAGGAGCCACCCAAATCCTGGATTACAGAACTCACCCTGCTCTCTGCCCACACAGGTGGGGTCCTGGATCGGGTTTGCCATCATGACCCAGTGTCTCCCAGGTGAGCCCACCGCCCCTCCCTCGGGGGTGGCCTTGCCCATCCAGGCTGGGCAGCCCTACCCTAATAGCCCTTCTCTGCTCCACAGTGGCCCTCTTCTCCCTGGTGGGCTTCACCCAGATGACCATCTGGGCCAAGGGGAAGCACCGCAGCTACCTGAAGGAGTTCCGGGACTACCCACCCCTGCGCATGCCCATCATCCCCTTCCTGCTCTGAGCCGCACCCCTCCCCCCTACGTCACTCGGGCACACCTGGGGCCACAGCTGTCTACACCTGGAATAAAACCTGCCTGCCCCAACTGGACTCTGTGTCTTTTTCTCTTCTTTTAGCTAGAGAACATATGAGCTAGCCAGAAAGCTCCCCCCATGGGAGATGGCCACACCGCAGTTCCTTCTCCCTGCCCTCTGGGATTTCGGGCACGCGCACAGGCGCCTGGCATTTCTCTGCACAATCCGGGTACTCAAACAGCACAGTAGTCCACGGAGTCCCCTCCCCTGTGGCAGTGCAGTGAGAGGCAGGGCTCGGAGGAGGGTCTGGAGCCTTTTTATTTGTCTGACTGGTCCGCAGGGTGATGGGTGGCACCCTAGAGCGCTGCCTCGGGGGTCACGTCCCCCTCTCCCCTGGCCAGCTGGGCTTCCTTCTGCTCCCGCCGCTTCTTCCGCTGGAGCAGCCGCCGCTCCCGCTCGTACTCCTTCATGCGTTTCACGTAGCTGCGGGCAGAGTGCGAGAGGTCCAGTCAGGCGCCCCCACCAGGACCCCTGGGGTGCAGCAGGGGAGAGCTGTGCCCAGGTTTGTCTGAGGTCCGCCTAAGCAGGCTGTGCAAGGTGTAGGGACTTCTCTCTGGGGTGGGCCCCACGATGCTGGCTTGGTCATCCACACTCTCCCCTTGCCCTTGTCTACAGCCCCCGGTCCCCCAAGTGCTCTCTGGCTACAGGCGAGGCCTGGCTAGACACCGGGGCTGGCTTGCTGTCTCTGGTCCCGCCTGGGGGAGGGGAGTGGCGGGGAGGGGGCGGGGACGGGGCTCACTCGAGGTGCTCGCAGTAGTCCCAGTCGTGCCGCTCGTGCTTGCAGGCTAGGAAGTTGGGGAAGCTGTCTCGCTTGCACTTGAGCAGCCGGATGAGGTAGTGGGCGCAGTAGTCGCGCTGATTCACCACCAGCTGCGCGTCGTTCATCTGCTGCTGCGTGGCCACCATGTCTGCAAGGCCAGGGGAGCGGGGGGGGGAAAAAAAAGGGGGGGGGCGGGGTCAGGCGAGGGGGCGGAGCCGGCTGCGAGCGAGGGGCGGGCTCGTCGGCGCCTGACTGCCACGCCCATCAGCCCTGGGAATGTCACTCCGGTGCCACATCTCCCTCCTCCCCATCAGGAACTGGGCGGCGGATGGCAATGGGTTATGGCTAAAACTGGACAGATGGGGTGTCTGGAAGGGACCTCTTTCCCGTTTCAAGTTGCCAGAAGGCACATCTGCTCACCAGAGAATGGCGAAAGCGCCCCTCTCCTTCGGCAATGGGGGGGTGGACACATCCAATACTTTCTGCATTTCTGCCCATTTTGGGGACCCATGTGTCCAGCATGTTTTTGCAACTCACTGACGCCTGAATTTTCTTTCTTTCTTTTTTTTTTTTTTACTTGCTTTAAAACATTGTACTGGGACCAGCAGTTAGTGTAATGGCTATGTCGCTGGACTCCCATGTAGCCGACCACGGTTTGAGTCCCGGACCCGGTGGCTTAAACTCACGCCGGGCGCGTGTGCGTGCGTGCCCAAGATCCCGAGAGGAGAATGGAGGAGAAGGGATTGTGGTGTGGCCATCCCCCCTGGCGGGTGATTTCTCACTTTCTATCTCTCTGTCTCTTTCTGGTGAGCACACGTGCCCTATAGCAAAAAAACAATAAAAAACAAAATAAAGTGCTATATGGGATCAGCAGGTGACCTGGTGGTTAAAGGCATTGGACTCCCACATGGCCGACTACATGTGGTTCAAGTCCTGAACCTGGCGGCTGACTCCCCCCTCCCCCCTGATCAAACTGCAAAATACAACTACTAATAAATAAAAGTTAAATAAAATAATTTTTAAAAAGAAATGTATAGTTCTTTTTAAAAAATTTTATTTATTCATTCATTTTAGTTTGACCAGAAAGAGATACAGAGAGAGACAGGGAAAGTGAGAAAGCAAGCCACCAGGTCCGGGGCTCAAACCATTGTTGGCCAAGTGGAAGTGTCCAGCACCTTAACCACCAAGCCACCTGCTGGTCCCTAATAAAATAAAAAAAATTTTTTTTTTAAAACTGTGCTCTAAGGTGCGTGCACTTGCAGGGGAGAGTCAGGAAGCAACCCCCACGGGGCAAGAGTCATGCTTCAATACTCTCTCTTTCCCCATCCTTCTGGGATTTGGGGCACACCTGCCTGGTGAGTGGATTTCAAGCTACCAGGTCAGCGACTCCAACTGCAGGTGGCCATGTGGAATCCAGATCCGTTAGTCACCATGCCACCAGCTGGTTCTCAGGCACCTCAGGATTTCAACTACGGTCGCCCCATGGGATCTGTTTCCCTTAACCACGAGGCCGGGGGGGCAGCCTGCAGCTGAGTACCCCTAGTCTTGCGTCTTGCAGGGCCCAGGCCGTCTCCCGCTCCTGCGTCTCTGGCTTCTACGCAATGTCCCAATGCCCAGACACTGCACACGGGGCCACCCAACACCTGAAGAGGCTACGCTTACTCAGCCTGTCACCCCAGGGCCCCTCCTGTCTCTACAACTGCAGAGACATTAAGCACTGGCTTTTTGAGAGTCCTCTGTTCGTTCTAATCTTATCCACAACTTTTTTTTTTTTTTTTTTTTAAGATTTTTGCTATGGAGTATGTGAGCTTGCCAGAGACAGATGGAATCAGGGAAAGCACCTCCGCCCTCAGGTGGGATGGCCATGCCACACTCCCGTCTTTAATCTCTTGGGATTTTGAGCATACATACACAACTGGTGTGATTTTTCTTTTTCTTTTTTTTTTTTAAGATTTTTGCTATGGAGTATGTGAGCTTGCCAGAGACAGATGGAATCAGGGAAAGCACCTCCGCCCTCAGGTGGGATGGCCATGCCACACTCCCGTCTTTAATCTCTTGGGATTTTGAGCATACATACACAACTGGTGTGATTTTTCTTTTTCTTTTTTTTTTTTAAGATTTTTGCTATGGAGTATGTGAGCTTGCCAGAGACAGATGGAATCAGGGAAAGCACCTCCGCCCTCAGGTGGGATGGCCATGCCACACTCCCGTCTTTAATCTCTTGGGATTTTGAGCATACATACACAACTGGTGTGATTTTTCTTTTTCTTTTTTTTTTTTAAGATTTTTGCTATGGAGTATGTGAGCTTGCCAGAGACAGATGGAATCAGGGAAAGCACCTCCGCCCTCAGGTGGGATGGCCATGCCACACTCCCGTCTTTAATCTCTTGGGATTTTGAGCATACATACACAACTGGTGTGATTTTTCTTTTTCTTTTTTTTTTTTAAGATTTTTGCTATGGAGTATGTGAGCTTGCCAGAGACAGATGGAATCAGGGAAAGCACCTCCGCCCTCAGGTGGGATGGCCATGCCACACTCCCGTCTTTAATCTCTTGGGATTTTGAGCATACATACACAACTGGTGTGATTTTTCTTTTTCTTTTTTTTTTTTAAGATTTTTGCTATGGAGTATGTGAGCTTGCCAGAGACAGATGGAATCAGGGAAAGCACCTCCGCCCTCAGGTGGGATGGCCATGCCACACTCCCGTCTTTAATCTCTTGGGATTTTGAGCATACATACACAACTGGTGTGATTTTTCTTTTTCTTTTTTTTTTTTAAGATTTTTGCTATGGAGTATGTGAGCTTGCCAGAGACAGATGGAATCAGGGAAAGCACCTCCGCCCTCAGGTGGGATGGCCATGCCACACTCCCGTCTTTAATCTCTTGGGATTTTGAGCATACATACACAACTGGTGTGATTTTTCTTTTTCTTTTTTTTTTTTAAGATTTTTGCTATGGAGTATGTGAGCTTGCCAGAGACAGATGGAATCAGGGAAAGCACCTCCGCCCTCAGGTGGGATGGCCATGCCACACTCCCGTCTTTAATCTCTTGGGATTTTGAGCATACATACACAACTGGTGTGATTTTTCTTTTTCTTTTTTTTTTTTAAGATTTTTGCTATGGAGTATGTGAGCTTGCCAGAGACAGATGGAATCAGGGAAAGCACCTCCGCCCTCAGGTGGGATGGCCATGCCACACTCCCGTCTTTAATCTCTTGGGATTTTGAGCATACATACACAACTGGTGTGATTTTTCTTTTTCTTTTTTTTTTTTAAGATTTTTGCTATGGAGTATGTGAGCTTGCCAGAGACAGATGGAATCAGGGAAAGCACCTCCGCCCTCAGGTGGGATGGCCATGCCACACTCCCGTCTTTAATCTCTTGGGATTTTGAGCATACATACACAACTGGTGTGATTTTTCTTTTTCTTTTTTTTTTTTTTTTTTAATTTTTATTACAGGGCATGTGAGCTTGCCAGAGACAGATGGAATCAGGGAAAGCACCTCCACCCTCAGGTGGGATGGCCATGCCACACTCCCGTCTTTAATCTCTTGGGATTTTGAGCATACATACACAACTGGTGTGATTTTTCTTTTTCTTTTTTTTTTTTAAGAGAGATTTTTGCTATAGGACACATGCGCTCACCAGAGACAGACAGACAGACAGAAAGCGATAACTCACCTCCCAGGGGGATGGCCATGCAGCAATCCCTTCTCCTCCATTTTCCTCCTGGGATCTTGGGCATACATGCACACATGCACACATGCGCAGTGTGAGGTTTAAGTTGTTGTTGTTCAGAATTATTTATTTATTTAATTCCATTTGTTATTAGTACTTTTTTTCATTTGACCAGAGAGAGAGAGAAAGGGAAAGTGAGAAAGCAAGCTGCCAGGTCCGGGACTCGAACTATGGTTAGTCATGTGGGAATCCAGTCCCTTTAACTATCACACGACCTGCTGGCCCCCCGGTGTGAATTTTAAACCACAGGGTTCAGGACTTGAACTGCAGTCTACTATGGGGGACTCTTGCCAGAGAAAGACAGAGAGACAGAGAGAAAAAGCAAGCCCACAGGTAGGGGACCGGAACCTTGGTCAGCCATGTGGGAATTTGAGCGCCTTAGCCACCACGCCACCTGCTGGCCCCCTGGTGTGATTTTCAAGCTGCCAGATCCACCCAGGGTTCGAACTGAACAGCCAGCCACGTGGGATTCTGTGCCTTAACCTCCACGCCTCCTGCTGGCTGTCATCCACAGCTTCTTCATAGTCCCCTGCTGCTTGGTTCCTCCACCCCACACCTGGCCTGAGGCCCCGCCTGGAGCCCCCCTGCTGGTTCTCAGGCACCTCATCACTGTCACCTAACCCTGGAGCCAGTGGGTCTCCTCCTCTTGCCTCAGTGACATTTCTGTCAGTAGCACATGCTCTCAGGGGAGGGAGAGCAGGAGGTGAGGAAGCATCCCCAGTGGGGGTGTGGTCACACTGCAATTGCTTCATTCCTCCATCCCGTCAAGATCTGGGGTGCACATGCACACGTGCCCGGGCCTGGATTCGAACGCTATGGCTGACCATGTGGGATCCAGCTCCCTTAACCACTAGGCCATGGGGCGGACACAATGGGGAACCCGGTCCTGCCCTGGGAGGCGCACACGGGTGGAACGTGGAAGGTCACAGAATGTCTGGCAATGGTTAAGGACTAGGGAGAAAGAGCCAGCAATGCAGAGAGGGAGGGCTGAGAGGCGACTGTGAGGAACCGAGACCCCACGCGGGTATGGGGAGGGTCTTCCAAAACGTCAGGGGGAATGTGAGATATAACAGAGACTGTGTAAAAGAGTCCAACTTTTTCTTTTTTAAAAATAGCTAAAGGTATTGGGACCAGCAGTTGGTGTAATGGCTATGTCGCGGATTCCCATGTAGTCGACCGTGGTTCGAGTCCCGGACCCGGTGGCTTAAACTCATGCCAGGCATGTGTGCATGCGTGCCCAGGATCCCGAGAGGAGAATGGAGGAGAAGGGATTGCGGTGTGACCATCCCCCCTGGGGGATGATTTCTTGCTTTCTGTCTCTCTGTCTCTCTCTGTCTTTCTGGTGAGCACATGCGCCCTATGGCAAACACCTCTCTAAAAAAAAAAAAACTAAAGGTATTTACTAGGGCATCTTTTTTTGGTTCAGATTTTTATATAGGATGCATGCACTCACCTGACAGAGAGAGAGAGAAAGGGTGAGTGAGAGATCACCCCCTAGGAGGCAGGGCCATGCCACAATCCCCTCCCCTCCACTCTTCCCCAGGCCTCTAGGCACGCATGCACACACGCCTGGGATGCTCTTCGAGCTGCTAGGTTCAGGTTCTGAACCCCACCATCACGCCGCCTGCTGGATACTGGTCCAATTCCAAACTTGTTTTGTACCAGATAAATCTGCACTGGGGGCCGGATAGTGGGGTGGCAGTAAAACACGATTTTCTGTGAAGCTGGATATTTACAGGGACAGGTCCTGGGTCTGCATGTGGAGACCTGAGCACACTGGATCTGGGGCTGGGTATGGATTGCGGCGTCAGATCTTTGGGGGTGCCTGTCTCTCTTCTTTCTCTCCTAGAAGTATGTAACTTAAAATACACACACACACACACACACACACACACACACACACACACACACACACACACACAATTTGCATAGGGTATGTGGACTTGCCAGAGAGAAACAGAGAGAGACAGAGAGAAGGGGATGGCCATGCTTCTCCCTTCTCCTCCATTCTCTTCCTGGGATCTTGGGCACACATGCACACGCACCTGGTGTGATATGTCAAGTAACCAGGTCCAGGACTTGAACTGCAGTCAGTCATGTGGGAGTCTAGCACCTTAACCACCACCTGCCACCTGCTGCCTGACACACACTTCTATTTTTTCAAAGACTTATTTATTCCACTTTATTTGTAATAATAATAATAATTATTTTGCAGAGATTTTTGCTATAGGGCATGTGCATTTACCAGAAAGACAGACAGAGACAGAAAGCGAGAAATCACCCCCTGGGGGGATGGCCACGCCGCAATCCCCTCTCCTCCATCTTTCTCTCGGGATCTTGGGCATGCACGCACACGCGCCCGGTGTGAGTTTAAGCCACTGAGTCCGATGTGAATTTAAGCCACTGGGTCCAAGACTCAAAATGCGGTTGACTACATGGGAGTCCAGCAACATAGCCATGACGCCACCTGCTGGTCCCACTATTTTAAAGTTTGTTATAGGGCACCTGTGCTCATCAGAGAGAGACAGAGACACAGAAAGAGAGAAAGTGAGAAAACAAGCTGCCAGGTCTGGGACTCGAACCACGGTTGGCCACGAGAGAGTCTGGCGCCTTTACCACCATGCCACCTGCCGCCCCCCCACTTGCATTTTAATACAATGCATACCCCGATAGCTGGCTGACTGCATTTGGCACAGGGCTGGCTGCAGCTGAGGATGGGTGTCAAGACCCAGTTTGGGCGCTGTCTGTCTCATGGACGAAATAAATGAATGAGCAAGCACTGGAGGGGAGATCCCTGCAGGCAGAGGGATCCATGACCCTGAAGTTTAAGGTCAAGCAAGCCCTTGGTGGAGATAAAGACGTGGGAACACCATCATGCAGAAGGTACTGGAAACCAGGGGGCTGAAAAGGACCCCCCCAATGGACTAGCAGACAGATAAGAGAAAGCCTGAGCCTTGGGGCACCCCAAAAGAGAGGTGAAGATCAATTCGCCAAGGAGCCCGCTGTGAGAAAGGGCTTCTAGGAGGAGGGGCCCTCAGCTGTCTACCACTGCTTGGAGGGTACATTAAAACAGAACTGGAGCCAGCAGTGCAGTCCAGTGGTTCGGGAAGCCAGCTCCCATGTGGCTGACCCTGGTCTGAACACTGGCTCCAGTGGCTTGAAAACACACCGGGTGCATGTATGTGTGTCCAAAATCCCACGGTAGGAAGAAATAAGAGAAGGGATCGTGGTATGACCACGCTTCTGAGGGGTGTGTGTCCCTCTGGCTAGGTGGTGTGGTCACTGGGGTGGTTGGATTTCACAGGCCAACTAAGAGGATGAGTCTCAGACACGGAGGCTTAAAGAACATGCCAGGCATGTGTGTGCGCATGCCCAAAATCCCGAGAAGAGAAGGGAGGAGAAGGGAGTGCGGTGTGTCATTTCCACTTTCCCTCTCTCTCCAGCAATTGCATGTGCCCTATAGCAAAAACTTAAGGATATAAGAAAAAAGCACTGGAGCCAGCAGTAAGCGTAATGGCTATGTGGCTGGACTCCCACGTAGTCGACCGTGGTTCAAGTCCCGGAACCGGTGGCTTAAACTCACGCCGGGAGGGTGTGCGTGCGTACCCAAGATCCTGAGAAGAGAATGGAGGAGAAGGGATTGTGGCGTGGCCATCCCCCCTGGGGGGTGAGTTCTTGCTTTCTGTCTCTCTGTCTCTCTCTGTCTGGCGAGCGCACGCGCCCTATGGGCAAAGCAGCCGGGGGCCAAGGTAAGGATTAGTGTTGTAAGGAGGTGGATCAATGGATTACAGGTTGGAGGGATGCCACAGGAAAATGTCAGTGTCCAGCCTTCACATCCAGACCTTCCTGCACGCTCCCCCTTAAAGACTCCTTGCTTAGAGATCTCCCTGTTTCACGTCACCCATTGCCCGCCCAGCAGCCAGCAAGACTTTTGATGAAACATATCCGATTGGACCCTCCTCTGCTTAGAAGCCCTGGCTCTGTCCCCTGCCTGGTCAACTACTACTAACCTCCTTTTGGGTCTCTGCTTGCAGCCACTGCCTCCTGGAAGCCTGCCATGATCAC